AATCCCTTCTCAAGCACTCGCATGATTTGCAAAAGTGGGTATGTATTATTGCTTTAGTGGTGGGCTCCAGGACAATAAATGAACTGCAGCAACGCTTCACACATATCCAGGTCTGTCTGTTTTGGAACCTTCTGCCATATATGGAGTCAGCTGGCTCAAGTCATGGGGAGACATAATGGGAGCCAGCCAAGGATTCCTTGAGGACTGGGCCAAAGGCTTTGCCTGGTGAGGTCTAAGAGAGCCAGTTCAAACAGAGAAAGGGTATCTTAAGCAAAGCAGCTCTAAAACTATGGTCTAGGGATAGGGACAAGGCATCCTATATACTTACTTCAGGAAAAGTCATGCTTAAATTACAATGCGGTGGAATGAAAGCATCCACATATCTTTCATATCAGCCGTCTTAGCTACTGTTTATAGAAGGCTTTGGGGCAGAATGATTTGGCTAAGACGAGGAGTGGGATTTGTGGATTACATTAAGGCAGGTATAAGGTGCATTTGGTCCTCCAGATGTTTGCACAACTCCCATCATCCCTCGTCATTGGCCATGTTTACTGGGGCTGATGGGAGTTGTAGTTCAACAACATCTGGAGGGTTGAAGATTCCCCACACCTGCATTAAGGGATCCCCTGTCTGCTAATTCGCACACTGCAACAGAACAAGAGAAAGTCAGGTTTTGTTTACCATGACTCTCGGAATTAAGAAAAGAGGATAGTAGGGATGATGTCATTTCACCCATGCTCCACAACACCTGCAATTATAGCTAGAAACATCTCAGGCACCTGGGATGCCCCTAGGATGGGTACCTTAATTATTCATTTTGCAGTTTCAAATTATACCTACCCTAAACGCCTGTCATCACAAGATGCATAGTCAAATGGCAAACAAATCAGCTGTTAACCACCATGCTTGCAGTCTATTTCCGATTCCTTTTGCAGGAGTCTTCAGGAAGGCTGGGACCAATCAGCTTTGGCATATACCCAGTATGGCAATATTCAGTCTTCTACATAACATGTGTGTGAATGTGTATGTGTGTGTGTAATGGCCAATTGTTCCCTGACAGCCTGCCAGTATTCTGCCATGCTGGTAGTGCAGCCAAGATTCAGTGGGTAGGCTTAGCTCACGTGTCAGTGGTGTTCCTGAATGCACCTCTCCATTCATTCCAACGTGAAAAGGTAAAGTACTACACTTAGGGAAAATATTAGAGTGGAGTGCAACATACCTTTATTTACCGAGCACACAAAGATGTACTCTGTGCTAAGAGGTCTTGTGATATGCAAACTCTCTCTGTGCAAATCCCTTCCCTATCTCGCTTCCAAGTATTTATGCTAGTTTAAAATGTAAGAGCAGATCAGCAACCCTTGTGGTTGGAGGGAGGGAGGGCACATGAAGATGTGTGGAAAGTTGTTGCTGTCTGAATGTGGGTTCTGGTATGGGTCTTCTTCATAAAGATAAGTTTCCTTTCATACTGCCCAGCGCTTCATCTCTGTGCCTTTATACAGTACACCTGTTGAGAGCATCTGCTGATATTTGAGCCTACACCATCCTCACTTATGCCATGAATAATAACACTTGGGGAAAATCCCTAATTTGGGAGAAGGAGATTCCAAAGCAGAGAAATAAAATTACGTTGCAATAAAACTGGGTGCTATTTTCCTAAAGCTGCATGATTTATTCCAGTTACAAAGTTTGGATTTCCTATTAGAAGGATTCAAGGACTAGGGAGCCCCAGGCCCCATCACCTTTGCTAGAATCCTATTTCACACACATCTCAAGTGCTGTTAGTTAGGTCATTGTGCCATAATTTCGAAACGGAGAGTTTGCATATGCCATACCAGCCTTATTAGTAAAGGTAATGCACATGTAAGCAGAGATATATCAGATGACTTTTTTCATGTAGGCATATAACACTGCAGCAAGTGGCTATGTTTACACAGGTACATTATCTCAAACAAAAGGTAATGGTTACTGGGGCTATCAAACATTCTTCACCTGTGTGTGTCAAAGTTACTGCTGATTTACAGAGTTCAATTTTACTAATGGGGAACGACAATAATAAACCCTGAATGCAGTAAAAGGGGGTTTGGAATCCCGCAAGTTTCCCTATAAAGTTTGGGCCAGTAATAAACACTGTGCAATCCTAAACACAACATGCCCTCCAAATGAACACAGGGATACAAGCACAGGTGAGCAGTGCATCTGCTAGGTTTTGAATGTGCAAAGAGAGTTGTTGAAAAATATAATTAGCTACATAGGAAAATGCCACCACTTAAAAACGAATCAAGAAACAAAACCTCATCACCTCCCCACTTTGACTCTCCCAATCCTCAGCATCGAATCTGGTGTGTTGGGAAGGATTAGGGCACAGACAGATTTCAGAGTAAAGCCACACACAAAAGTCTTCTAGACTTTGGCAGGGTTTGGAATATATGAGATGTTGCTAGAGCTGAGACAACAAGCATCTCCACACACACACCCGCCGGGCCCCAAAGCAGCTGGAGCTGGAAACATGCAAGAAATTAAAAGCAAGACTGAACTCTCACCTTCCTCAAGCAAGTATTCCCAGGGAAAGAAGAGCCAGCTACAAATGCGGACACCTCCAGCGCTGCCAGCCCAAGCTGCTGCTGCTGCTACTACGAGCCGCTTCCCAGCTCAGCCGGCTTTGCCTCTTGCACTCCCACTATCTGTGCGCTCGCTGCAATTTCTCCCATGACTCCATCGCACAGGAATGGCAACAACTTCTCTCTCACTAACACCGGTGTGGCACTGGCAACACACACACACAGAGAACTGTTGAGAGTCAGGTGGGGAAAGAAGGCAAGGGCGGTTGCAAGGTGAACAGTGGGAGCCCAAAGAGGGGAAGGGGACCCCCGCCCCCGCCCGAAACGCCTTTGGAAAGGCTCGGCTTTGAAAGCAGCGCCGAGCTATATAAATCACAGCTTGAGACAAACGGGAGGTCAGGAGAGCAATGAATCAGAGAGTCCAAAAGGGGCACTGACTCCGAGCCAGCCTGCAGACACAAGAAGCCTATCCGAACTCCAGTCATAAACAAAACAGGGGAGAGGGGGGAAAAAACTTTTAGACTACAGAATTTGTCATCGAGTACTGTGTGGCCAGAGCCATTCAGTTTTGATGGAAGTTAGGTGCTTGTTGTAACGGAGAGATAAAGGTGGGAGCAAGCACTTCGGCTATTAAAGAAAGATCAGATGAAAGATGCCCATATACAGCTGTTTATTAAAAAGTCTACCATTTCGTGAAAAACTTATTTTGGACACGTACATAAGTGACTTTATACTTGTTTGATGTTTTGACTCAGTTCCTGCAGAAGGATTCCAAAGGAGGATGTTGGAAGGAAGTTTTCTCTCTCTCTCTCTCTGTTTTTCCCCAGATTTAATAGCTGATGGTTGCGAAAGGAATTTGTGGAATGAAACCCTGAAAGTCTTAATCAGATGGTAGCTGCGAGTGACTGCGTGCTAAACTTAACTCCTACTTTTTCTCCTCCTCCTCAGACACAGGATACAGGGTCAGCTGATTTCAATGGGGGGGGGGGGTTGCAGGGGAAAGGCAAAGCAGTGGATTGTGTCCCAAACGACTCAAAGAGTGCAACTTTGGAGAAAAGAGCAATACAAATGTGTGTGTGTGTTTCTGTGCATTTATATGCAAAGCAAGGTAAGATTTAAAGAAGGAAAACAGTGCACTGAAAGTGCTGCAGAGAAATGTAAACACTCCCCCCCATACATTAAGAACACCTAGTATTAATTCTCTGCAGTCAAGATGTTTTACTCATGTGCATTGTTTGTCCTTAACTTACTGATCTCTTTGAAAAGACCCTCTGTTACAGTTTCAGTACAGGACTTCTATCCCAACCACCCTGGTTCATTCCCACAGGCTGCAAAATCAAGTGGCTTATTGTGTAAGAACTAAAAATAGCTATTATTATTATTATTATTCAAGCACTTGCCGGAGTTACCCTTGGGCTGAATGCCATGTGACCAGGCAGCTAGTTAACTATCAGAGAGCAGCAACAAGAGAGACTAAAATGTGCCATTCAGACCATGGCTGAAAGCTAATCTGTAAGTGGAAATGGATCAGCAGAGATGTGCAGGGGGGAAATGGACTGGAGACTAACACAAAAAGAAGTGAACTGACTGCATCCTAAAACTCATCTCCCCCCCCCCCAAAAAAAATAATATCCTGAGAGCATCTTTTCATATTTTGACCCATCTTCACTAATAAAATATTAATAAAATAGTTGGATTAAGTTGAGTGATTTTCCCATACCACCCCTCTGCCAAAGGACCTTGGGAATCATACATCACTTGAAGGTCATGGGAATGATTTTTTGGGGCCCTGAGTCATTACACAGAACATAGGAAGTTGCCTCTTAAATAGAGAAATAGTCTATTTGTCCATCCAGCCCAGAAATGTATACACTTATGGGCAGCAGCAGCCCTTTCCCATTGCTGGCTACCTCATTCTTCTAGCTAGACATGGCAGGGATTGAACTCGACACCTTCTGCATGCAAAACAAGTGCTTCACCACTCTACAGTCCCACCCCTCAAACAAGGTAGGGGGAACCTGTGGTCCTCCAATGCTGGTCTCCATCAGCCCCAACCAGAATGGCCAATGGGATGATGGGAGTTATAATTCAGGGCCACCAGTCTCCCATTCCAGTCTTCAACCATAAATCCCAAGGTTCTTTATTCGGGAATCATGAAGGTTAAGTAGTTTTGAAATGGTCAAGTTCACAGCTCACATTACCACTACGTTCGCCATGCTAAACACTACTACATCTTGAATGGTGGGTGGAGGAATTACTTATGGCAAAACAAGGCAAGGCAACGTTCTTGCAATTATCAATTGTTTGAATGGCTCTTTAAAAGTAAAATTAAGGCAGAGTGGGGCCAAATAGGAAGCAGAAGTTTTATTTTGAGTCAGACCATTGATCCATCAAGCTCAGTATCGCCTACGTTGACTGTCCAGAGTTTAAGACAGAGGACATTTCCAGATAGCTTAATTGGTAAAGCATGAGACTCTTAATCTTCAGGTTCATGGGTTTGAGCCCCACTTGGGGCAAAAAGATTTCTGCATTGCAAAGGGTTGGATTAGATGAGCCTCTTGTTCCCTTCCAAGTCTACAATTCTATGATACTGTGATTCAGAGCTCCATCTGGAGACGCTGGGAATTGAATCTGGCACCTTCTGGATGTAAGCAGGTGATTTAACATGGATTTACAGCCCTTCATAAATCTGGATTGAGACACTGCTGTGGAGGGTAGAAAGTTATCGAAGGTGCTCAACTAGGGCCAGGGCCTTTTCAGTACTGGCCCCGACTTGCTGGAACACTCTGTCACAAGAGACTAGGGCCCTGCGGGACTTGACATCTTTCCGCAGGGCCTGCAAGACAGAGCTGTTCTGCCTGGCCTTTGGTTTGGACTCAGTCTGATCCTTATGTTGCCCTCCCCTTATGGTCTTGATCTATCGGCTACTTTTAAAATGAGGCTGCATTTTAAATTGCATTTTAACCTGTATTTTAAAATGGTTTTTTTTCTTCTTCCCCTATTACGTTTTTACTGTGATTTTACTGGTGTTAGCCGCCCTGAGCGGATGGAGGGATGGAGGGGTATAAATAAAATTATTATTATTATTATTATTATTATTATTATTATTATTATTGTTATTATTATGTCTAACTTGGCCCTCACTAGCAACATTTCTATATCATCTTCCCACCGAAGTACTCAAGCAGTTCCTTTTTGCAATAATGGCTTACAATCCAAGATACCTGATATGAGAACAGTCCTGATAGCTTTTTGAGAATTTTGTGTGTGTAGTATCCAGGCTTTTGCAGCAAAATGTTCATGACATTACGTTTTCCCCATTTACCATGAATGAACGCTGCTGTTACTGTTGGTGTGTTAAGCAGAATTTTCATTTGCTTGCATCACAGTGGTGTTTGTTTGTTTCTTTGTAAAATGGGGATAATGTGTTTCACCTTAGAAGAGTAACTGTGTAAGTAGCATGGCTGCAAACAGATTATCTTATGGGGCAGGCGTCTAGATCCTGTTCACTCTCAACAAAACAAGCAACCTCCAGCTCATATCTGCCTCTTTCATTCTCTCCCATCATCCTGGCAATCACTCATTAGCCTGTCACATTGGATGGACAATTGCTTGTTTTGGGTGTCAGATGTGCTTAGTTGAGTCACAAAGTTTTTATAGTTTTAGCACCTGTTAGCCTTGCAATGCCAACAAATCAATGGGAATGGGAGCTAGATTCCATTCCAGTGTCTGCACAAGCTGACTGTTAAAACACAGTCACGATTCAGAACCGAAATGCCATGCTGCTTGTATTTAAGCTAGTTTCAGCCCAATCTTCTGTGCATTTACTTGGAAGTAGGGCAGACAGACAGTGTTCAGCTATGGCTACCTCTGAATATGTAGGATTGCAGTCTTTGTCCTATTGGATTTAGCTGGAATAGACATGCATGTTAACTCTGTTATTATCTGGCAGAGAAAGGGAGTCGCAAATTTAAAATAATTTGGAAAGTGATTAAAAATAAGTATCCAAATTATAAAAGATATACAGTGGTACCTCGGGTTACATATGCTTCAGGTTACATACGCTTCAGATTACACACTCTGCTAGCCCAGAAATAGTGCTTCAGGTTAAGAACTTTGCTTCAGGATAAGAACAGAAATCGGGCTCCGGTGGCACGGCGGCAGCAGGAGGCACCATTAGCTAAAGTGGTGCTTCAGGTTAAGAACAGTTTCAGGTTAAGAACCGACCTCTGGAACGAATTAAGTACTTAACCTGAGGTACCACTGTACTGGCAACCCTGTTTGAAATCTTCCTTGCAATCAGAGTTAGGAACACTTAAATCTCTTCAAATCAATGGGCTTAATCTCTGTTGCATAGTGGCCAGTTTGTGCATCCCATCTGTGAAGCAACTACAGTGGTACCTCAGGTTAAGTACTTAATTTGTTCCAGAGGTCCGTTCTTAACCTGAAACTGTTCTTAAACTGAAGCACCACTTTAGTTAATGGGGCCTCCTGCTGCCGCCGCGCCGCCGGAACACAATTTCTGTTCTCATCCTGAGGTAAAGTTCTTAACCCGAGGTAATATTTCTGGGTTAGCGGAGTCTGTAACCTGAAGCGTATGTAACCTGAAGCATATGTAACCCGAGGTACCACTGTATTTCTTTAAAATAGGATTTATGTACCACTTAATCAACAAAAACAAAATAGCATTGGGTGTAAATATCAATGTTCAACTATTAAATATTGAAAATGAAATCAAACATTAGAAGCAGCTGTCCGAAACAGAAACCAAATGCAATATATATTTCTGAGCAGCAAATAGCAACATCTAAACAGTACTGAATACATACTGATTGTCAGGGAACTGCCATCAGCTCAGAGGCAGGAAGTGGAAGGGCAATTGGGTTAGAGGGAGCCGCCAAAGATCTTGAGAAGCAGTTCGTCCTCCGGGGAGGAGCGAAGCCACGCCTCTAGTGGGGAAGGGATGCATGGCTCGGAGGATGCAGGGGAGAGCCACAGCGCCGAACCTGAGCAAAGCGGGGGGGGGGGGAGGCAGGTTCCCCTTTCCCCACGCGCAGAGAGGGGAGGCATAGGATGGGGGTCAAAAAACCTGCTCTGCTGGGTAAAGTTTAAGGACCACCCACTCCCAGATTCTGCTAGCGACTGAGCAGACATGGAATTGAGTCGGTCTGCATTGTGAACGTTTTGGACAAATAATAAAGCCTTGAAAACACCGTTTGCTCTCGAGCAACCACACCGGCAATCGTAACACTAATATTCAGCAACCAAAACCTGAGTGGACTTTGGTGGGGATGATAATGACATAAGAGCCCTGTTGGATGAGACCAGTGGTCCATCTACTTCAGCATCTTGTTCCCACACTGGCAACCAGTATAGGAAGCCCATAAGCAGGGTTCAACAGCATTATTCCCTCCTGTAGTTTCCAGCAACTGGTAATTGTTGGTGGCAAGGAAAAGTAAGTTTTAAAAGGAAGAAGAAGAAGAAGAAGAAGAGTTTGGATTTGATATCCCGCTTTATCACTACCCGAAGGAGTCTCAAAGCGGCTAACATTCTCCTTTCTCTTCCTCCCCCACAACAAACACTCTGTGAGGTGAGTGGGGCTGAGAGACTTCAAAGAAGTGTGACTGGCCCAAGGTCACCCAGCAGCTGCATGTGGAGGAGCGGAGACGCGAACCCAGTTCCCCAGATTACGAGACTACCACTCTTAACCACTAACACCACACTGGCTCTGGATCCATTCCCTGGATGCCAAGATCCAGGTTTGGGGCAAGTACTCTTTGATGAAAGAACCCCAGCAGATATTTAAAATCACAAAACATGCAGCAAAGTTAGGTGTGGAAATATAAGCTGTTAGACCTGTTAAGCTGTTAAAAATATGCCCTTGTGAGTTCCCAAACTTCCCTCTTGCATAGAAAAGACCTCACATTTGGTAAGTTTAAAATGGTTTACTTACAAACTCTCCAAAGGTCAGGTTCATGTGCTTTCTCATATATCAGTCAGAAAACACAGGCAAAAAAAAAATTGGCTTCATTACAGTGGTGAAAGTTCCTAAGTGATTGGTGTAGGAACACAAGAATGGCTTGTCAGAGCCCTGGAGGCTGAGCTTCGAGCAACCAGAAGACCTCTTTACACCCTGATCTTCTTGGGTAGACTGAAGGGTAACAATATGCTTAATTACCTTCCTCTCAATGTGAGGGGGTGTAACCTAGCTAAGCCTGGCAAGGCAGCTTACTCTATGGTTTTAACCCCTTCATGCATTAATTAAACTTCAGCATGTTGGTTATATGCAGTGGATTATCCCACAGTATTCAGAAGTATCCTGTCTCAAACAGTGGACATAGGTGGGGAGGGCAAGGGAAATATGCTTTTTCACCCTAATGGAAGTCTGTGACATAAACTGGCTTAAAAACCCATCTGAATCTTGGTTTTGAACGTGGCTGTAAGTCTTCATGAAATGTGGGACAGACAGTTTTAAAAATAGTTCATTTTTTCAGGCAACACAGGAAGAAAAGAAATACTATTTTTAATAACAGTTGTGTTTACTTTTACCTCAGAGAGAGCCAAGAAATGTAGGAAGTCATTATTTATTAATTCAGGTTGTTAAAAGCAGGATAGCGCCTTAGAACAGATCTTCATCCTTGGCTTGTTTTAGGGTGGGGGCTTTTTTTATGCTTTCACAAATGTAGCTTTGGGGGCTGCAACCTCTGCTTAGCCTGTCCAGTCTTCGCTGACTGAACGCAGTGAAAAGCCACATATTCTAATCTATACTTAAGGATGTCTGGGAGATGGTTTACAGTCTTGCTGTTTGGCTCGCTCAGCAGAGACAGAATATTAGCAGCCCGCCAACTTCTTTCTGTGTAATTTATTAGGACTGTAGCTGAGCCCCTATTTTGCTTCGTGAAGCCATCTGTTACTGCTGTCCTGCGTGAGAGGACCCTTAGTTGCTATTAATGAGAGAGCATTGAGAAGACATTTTAAGAGGCAGTTGCACCTTCTGCCTGTTTCCTGAAGCCTCCATCTTCATTCTTTTGAAGTCAATTAGATTGCTACCATTGATTCGGGGGGAGGGCGGTGCAAGGGGATGCAACTGGTCCCTCAGTGGCCAGCTCTTCAAATATGTTGACTAAAACAACCAATTTCTTTTGTTTTGAAAGCTACCTATCCTACACTAATAGTGAACTCATTCTGCGAGTGTCAATTGTTATGTAGCAGAAACTGGCACAAGAGGAAGATGTCAACAGGCTTGGAGAAACTCTCCGCCTCATTTTTCTTAAGAATAAAAAAAAATGGGGTGGGCAGAAAAGCCAAGTGCTGATTGAGAATGCCCAGTGGTCACAGGGAAGCAAGTGAGAAGATTAACAGTACATGCGAAAAGGATCTAGGGGGTCTTGGTGGACCACAAGCTTAACATGAGTCAACAGTGTGATCCAGCAGCAACAAAATGCTACTCTAGGCTGAATCAAGAGAAGTATAGCGTCCAGATCAAGGAAAGTAGTAGTACTACTCTATTCTGCCTTG